AAACGATTTGTCTGTAAACCTGGATTTAATAGATGCATGGAGAGTTTTAAACCCTGAGAGTTCCAGATTCCTGGGCGACAAGAGAAACCTGAAGTTCACTGTAGGCTCGACTTTTTCCAAGTAAATCAGACTACATTTTGTAACACCGTCAGTGCGGACATATTACCAGGATACAAAATGGATCATTCCATGATTACATTACAAATCTTGCTGCATTCTAACAATAGAAGGTGGGGCTTTTGGAAAGTTAACACCTCTTTTTAAATGACATTGAGTATGTTAATCGGATAAAATCAATCATAAAACAAACCAAGGTTGAATATGTGCAAGATGATACTGTTAACCCTAATTTACTATGGGAGATGGTTAAATTGAAAGTGAGAGAGGAGTCCTTGAAATATGGAACTTCTAAGAAAAAGAAACTAGCAAGAAAAGAGAAGGAAATAGAACAAGCAATCGCAACTCTTGAAAAATGTCTTCCTGAATTTAATGACGATGAAACTCAATGAGAGCAAGTGTAGTCGGACCTTGAAACAAAGAAACGTGAACTGGGGGCAATAATAGAATACAGGACAAAAGGAGCAATTTTAAGATCTAAATCTCAATGGTACAATGAAGGTGAGNTTAATCGGATAAAATCAATCATAAAACAAACGTAATCAAGGTTGAATACGCGCAAGATGATACTGCTAACCCTAATTTACTATGGGAAATGGTTAAATTGAAAGCAAGGGAGGAGTCCTTGAAATATGGAACTTCTAAGAAAAAGAAACTAGCGAGAAAAGAGGAAATAGAACAAGCAATCGCAACTCTTGAAAAACGTCTTCCTGGATTTAATGGGTAACCCGAAAACACTGATCCCCGGTCCGCGGACTACCCATGGACCGGTCCACGGACTACCCTTACGGACCCCCTCTACGGACCACCCCACAAAATAGAATAAAAATAATAAATAAATATTTCAGTTACGGGCTGTCTAATAGATTACTCGTGACGGCGAAATTTCGAAAATTACATTGTGCAAATGTAACAGACCTGGATTCAGGTTTGGGTGCAATTTCTATCATTACACATTGCCATTTCCTTTGCTGTGGCCATTAAGTATATGAAAGACGAAGCCCCCGGGGAAGCCTCGAAATTTGTGCGTTTTCCCCTCTGCCATTTTGTTCAGCCCATTCTCCCGTGGATTAATTCGTGAACTCCTTCCAGGCTTCACAATTTGCTCAGTGGAATAACAGATGCAAACAAGAATAAAAGGCCTAAACTATATCTTCCATAGCCAGATTGAGCCACGAATGGAAGGTACGAACTTTCCTTATTTTTGCCATCGGCATCTCCTTACGCTGAAAAGAGCTTTTAGGCATTTTTTTTTGGGGGGGGGGGGGCTCTTCAAAACCCAAGTCTGTTACATTTGCACAGTGTAACACTTGAAAACTCACTGACACGGGTAATCTATTAGACAACCTATAAGTGAAGTCTTTATTTATTATTTTTACACTATTTTGGGGTGGTCCGTAGAGGGGTCTGTTGGGGTAGTCCGTGGACCGGTCGATAGGTAGTCCGCCGATCCGGTCCGTAGTGGCGGTCCACGGACCGGGGGTCAGTGTTTTCGGGTTACCCGAATTTAATGGCGACGAAACTCGACGAGAACAGGTGTGGTCGGACCTCGAAACAAAGAAACGCGAACTGGCGGCAATAATACAATACAGGACAAAAGGAGCAATTTTAAGATCTAAATCTCAATGGTGCAATGAAGGTGAGAAAAATACCAAATACTTTCTCAATCTGGAAAAGAGACATCGTAAACAAGGAACAATAACCCAGCTCAAAGTCAATGACAACGACCTCATTTGTACAGACAAAGAGATCTTAAAAGAATGTGAATCGTTTTACCAAAATC